TATAAGCTTTTCAATTTTAGGTAGGTGCCAGGGATCTGGAACGTCGTTATCAGCACGCTTTGGCATCCTAACTCCATGTTCCAACTCTCTGGTGTTTCAAGGGTTTGGGGGGCCACAGGGTTGGAGGAGCTGACAGTGTCCTGGGCTTAGGAGTTCTGAAGCTCGTGGCTGTAGGTTCGATATGGGAGTTTCCGAAAATTGGGGTACCTTAGTTGGGGTCCTTACAATAGGGATCCCGCAACAAAAAAGATCTATATTAGGGTCCCTATTCTCAGAAACCCCCCATATGTTAGAAGGCTCCAGGGTGTTAAGGTATTCAGGGTCTCGGACAGTGAGAGTTTGGTGTTGAGGGACTAAGGCAGGGTTGAGCACTGAAGACCCCTACAGAAACCCTATGCACTAAACATTGACTAATCCCTGCCAAAAAACGGTTCTCTCTCAACTTCCTCCTTCGGTGGTCAATGTAGGGTCCAGGGCCTCGAATGCCATTCCTTGCAATTCCGAGCCTGACCTAAGCCAATGCAATTCGGATGTGCAGTTTGGGGCGGCAAAGCTCTAGGTATGCGACCATACACCAGAGTAAGAATTTCCTTTGGTATTGGACCCCTGAAGCCGCAACCCAAACCTTAACGGACCCTCTTGGACTACTACTTCTACTACTATTTCTTCCATTACTACTACTACAACTACTACTACTACTACTACTACTACTACTACTACTACTACTACTACTACTACTGGATTCCTACGTCGGTCTCAAGGTCGACATTCGGACACTGCTCCGCTTCTGCCGAACCCTACCCAAAGTATTGGGTAAACTCCCTGAGTCCTAAGCTGTAGACGTCCCCCCCCCCCCCCAAACTTAAGCCGTAAATCCTAAACCCCAAACCCCGCACTCAGCTCTAGACTCTGGACACCTCCAAACCTTAAGCCGTAAGTCCTAAACTTTAAGCCCCACACCTTAATTCCTATAACCCCTAACCCTAAACCCTAAACCCTAAACTAAAGCTGCACCCTGAACTCTACATTCCCACCCTCGTACCTAAAACCCTCTTATTCGCGTATGCTGACACTCTGGAAAACCCTATCTAAATCACCCAAAGGTAATAAAATGTTGGCCCAAAACCTACAAAAAGCTAGTATTCCATGGTGTCTAGGTGAACCCTGAAACCCCGAACTCCTAAACCCTAATCCTTTGAAAACCCTGAAACCCTACACCCTCTGAGAAACCAAAACCCTAAACCCCTAAACCCTGAACCCCTAAAACCCCTAAACCCTAAACCCCTAAAACCCCTAAACCCTAAAACCCTAAACCCTTAAACCCTAAAACCCTAAACCCCTACACCTCAAAACCCTAAGCCGTAATTGCTTGTTCAGGGTGACGCTCGCACGTCGAAGGCAAAAGTTTTCGCCACGGAAGGCATGGCTTTGGTGCACTTTTTTAGGGCTGAATACCCTAGACCAGGGGTTTAGGGTTTAGGGGTTTGGAGTTTAGGGGTTTAGGGTTCAGGGGTTTAGGGTTCAGGGTTTTGGAGTTCAGGGGAAAGGTTAAGCTTCTCAAGTATGGTAGGATGTTTATATAAGCCCTAAACGGTTCAACGTCAACTGCTCATCTACCCAGTTTTGGGGTCTGAAGAACTTGAGCGGCCTTAGACGCACAATAAAAGTAGGAATCCCATGGAGCTTGATGAGAAGCAGAGTAAACAACTACTTCCTAAGAACAAGAAAGAGAAGGTGCTGAGGAATCGGGGTCAGTAAACGCTGAGTGAAGCAAACAGTGTCCCGCTGATCCCGTACAAATTTGAGATTCGGGTCTTAGGTCAGGGTTTATATAGTGTTTAGGGATTATATAAGGCATACATTTATAGGGGTTTGGGTCCAGGTTTACCTTTCGCACATGCTTACACTATACTCTTTTCCCATAGACGATAGTTTAGGGCATAGAGATATGCTATAAGAACCGATTCCCTACTTCAGTGCTAAGCCGCTATGGTACAGAAAGAGCACCAAGAGGCACGGGTGCTTCCCCGACGCCTGAGCCAGCCTAGTATTCTACGTAGTGGGGATCGATCCAGTGGTAGGGGGCGTGTAATGTAAAAAAACCAAACAAGTTGCAGTGTTTGGGGGTTCCTTTTGTAATTCTGTCGGGACTAGCGCTATCATTGCTTCCTATAGTAAGTCTGTGTCATTGCGAAACAATGCAACGTGGACCTAGGACAGTTGGAACATGGCATGGGGATGATTCGTGCTGGGATTCCCTAGACTTCACCCACAGGGCATGGGGAAATCCTAAACCCTAAACCCTGATGAGCGAAACGATGTATGCCAGGATCACTCCCCACTCCGCCCGACAGACTCTGCGACAAACCGGTCGAAGCTGCTTGCTGCTCTTTAAGCGTAATATAGGGTTCCTTTAAAGGGGTCTATAAAGGTTACTATAAGGGATCTATATGGCTATTACAAGGGTTCTATAACGGCACACCTCAACAATTTCAATAGGTTTTGGCGCCCATTCTACTATAATTCTTACTATGGAACCCCCCACAATAGTATAGGAAATTCTTTAGGCCCCTGTAATACGGTTGATGATAGAAATCCTGCATAGCTCATAATAAGGAATATACCATAATTCCCATAGTTTAGGGTAATGCAGGATTTATATCATCAACAGTATCTTTTGGGCAGGTTCCGGTTCTGGAGATCAAAGCTTCATGCTAAGAGCTTTGGACACTACTATACTGAACTTAGAAACCTAGCGAACATTATAACTTTAGCTGCTTCTTAGGGATTATAATAACCAAAAACAAAAAATGAATCTAGGTACCCCTAAGAATAAGCTTCGCCTTCGACACCAAAAAAGCTCCAACTCCTAAACCCTCCAGTCGTAAATCCTGATGCTTAGGGTTTCGGTTTGGGTTTAGGGTTTAGGGAATCCTAGACCCGCTAATCTTGAAGGGTAAACCATGATCTCTAACACGGTATGGGTTTGTTCGGCTGGATCTTGCACCCAGTAAGACGAAATATTCGCTCAGGAGGTATGGAGCTATGTTGGGGCTGCGGGATCTATGGGATTTCAGCACTTTTACGGCTCGAGGGCATTTTGCCTGTCGAGGTTGAGGGGTGAAGCGCCTTGAAGGTGGAGTGCTCCAATCCAGAGGCTTTGGCGCAGTTGAGTTTCGGCTATGACCCAGACCTTCCAAAATACCTTAATTAAGGAAAATACCTTAAATTATAATAGGGTCCCTAATAGGATTCAAGGGATATTGGAGTCTCTGGGTGAGTGGCTTCCGAGCAGCGCGCTTTCGCCACCCTGTACACATCTGCAGAGGCTCCCCGGGCGCAAGTGCGAGATATCACTGCGACTGCCTTGCTGCCTTCATGCACCGGCTGTCGTGAAGGGCAAAACACCGAGGTGCGGTTGATGATATAAATCCTGCATTACCCATAAGAAGGAATATACCGTAATTCCCATAGTCTAGAATAACTCAGGTAATGCAGGATTTATATCATCAATCGTAGCTTGTACATCGCCGGATTTCAGAATTTAGGACAACGTGCCTCGATTTTGGTATCAACAGGGTTGAAGGCTCAAGGCTTAAGGGGTCTCAGCCTGAGGTGCTAACGTCGGACATTTATAATTAGAGAAAGAGGGAGAGAGAGGGGGAGAGAGAGAGGGAGAGAGAGAGAGAGAGAGAGAGAGAGAGAGGGAGAGAGAGAGGGAGAGAGAGAGGGAGAGAAAACACAAGAGTAAAGGGCTACGACCATGATACTATAAGGTGATATTGTATAACCAGAAACCTCACAACCAATCAGTAGACCCAAAAATGAAACTACACTGGACCACGAGCCAACCGCAAAACGGGCTTAGCATGTCCTCGTGCTGGAATGAAGCAACAACACTTCATTCTCAACATTGTTGTAGTTGTTACGTTTCCGACTATGATTGTGATCATGATTATGATTATGACTGTGATTATATAAGGTTCTTGCGATGTTGAATATTCATGTGCTGTCATGTTCACTTTCTCCTGGCACTGCTGTTATTGGTGTTGCCACAGCATTGTGTTTACTCTGATGTTATGCTTGTTTTTCAATTGTACTAATGGTGCGAATACTGGTTTTGCCATTACTGTATTGCTTCTACTCTCATGCTATGCTTGCTATTGTTCGTCTTCTTATTGTTACTGATGCGTGCATGTGTGCACTATGGGTATCAATACCAGTTGGTTGTTGTTGTTGTGGTGGTTGTTGTTGTTGTTGCTACTGCGACAGTGCTGACTATTGCATAATAGACCGAACTATGAGCGTTGTTGCTGTGATTAAGGCTCGAAGTGAACAATCTCAGTTTGCGGCCGACAAAGGACAGTCTTTGGCTCCAAAACCATACTTATGCCGGCTCACATCGCCAATGCGATCTCCTTTCAAGCTTCTCGTGCCCCTCAACCCTCAACCCTAACCTAAACCCTAAACCGTCTTCAGATTATATTATGGCCCTATTATATTCCTATTATATCACTATTACAGGGTGGGGGCCCCTTCTAAAGTATGCGCAGCAATGGAGCTTTGCAGTGAGCTCTCTTGACAGCTCTGGCTAACTGCCTTTCAGTACTGCACACGCCTTTGGCAACGTGCAGAACATGCATGAAGATAACAGGTCAGGGACTTTCATAGGACGGGATCTCTACTGCCAGCGATGTAAACCAACCCCCACAGCAAGCTGCCACAGCAACACCCAACCCCGTCACTATAGTATACCTCGAAGTGCCCTGTTTCGAACTATATACGGTCGTGCACTGGGGCTTCGGTTCTGCATCTGCGCATCCGGGGTTCAGGTCTTGCTGCAGCAGACTGAGGGTGTTGGATTTCTGGCGTGCTTTAGTCCCGCAGTTGCAGCCTCTTGAGGTTTCGCGGGCGCTGCCTGCAATTGCATCTACATACTTTCTACACCCCTGCCGAAAGCCGCCCGATTCCGAGGTGACAAAAATTCGACGAACTCATTGTCATCCGGAGTCCTGCAGGGGCGCCGGTTGCAAAACCGAAAAAGATTGGTTTGAAGGGCTCCATAGCATGATCTTTCGCGATATATCCCTTAGTTGCTGAGTTCATAAGCCCCCAAAAGTGTACACTTTCAGTTTTATAGTGGGTAATATTACTCCAAAAATTGTAAAGTGTATCCACTCAGCTACTAAGTATTTCATACTTCTCAAAGAGGCTCGACGGTTTTCTGCCTTCTGTCTCCAACCTCTTTGGGGCACGAAGTTCTCACAGGTGACGAGGCTGCACAAGGCACCAAGAAGACTTCAAATCACGCTTCAACTCATCAATACACTTTCAGACATGAAGGGAGCCTGAGATCTAGTGTGATGCAAATGAGACTCCCTACCAGGTATTTACACGTCTTTGGTGTTTTGGTTTAATTTCTGGAAAAACCAGGAAGTACTCACCTCACCTTGGTAGATCTTCGCTTCGGATCTTCGCTTCGGGTTGCTACGTATGCTGGCAGGCAGAGCGGGCACTCTACAGCCTGGGGAACCACAACCCACCGCCACTACGCGTCACCACAGCTTCATATGGGTGGTTGTCAAAATTAGGGTCCCTTTTTGGGTCCTTATTATAATACGGCGCCTAATAATTAGGGTGCCCAAAAAGGGACCCTGATTTTGACAACTACCAACTACCCATATGAGCATTTCACTTCCCCATGCACACACACAGACTCACATACGTGTTCGTGTGCAGATAATGTTATATGTACATGTAGAGAGATTGAAAGAAATAGATCGCAAACGACATCACGAACCGAGGTATAACCTAATTTGGTATAGATATAGAAAATACATGTAGCCATACAGTACAATAGGTTACAACGTGTATATGACAATACCAACTAACATGCAACAATATAGATTACAGTAATACAATATACTGTAAAATATTTCTAACTAAACAGAATAAAAGATACCATACAATGATATAGCAGATATGGTAGTTTCCGAAAATTAGGGGTAGCTTATTTTGGGTCCTTATAATAAGGATCCTACTATTTTGGGTGCTATATTAGGTCCCTTATTATCGGAAACTCCCATATATAAGTCATACTGTACTATATATACTATCCTATACTATGTTATACTCGACTAGACCATACTTTTCTATTCCCGCTTACCACCCTGGGAAAGCCCTAGACGAACCCCTGATTAACATCCACTGTAACTCCATAACTCCTTCACAGAATCCACTGCTTCACAAAACCCTTTAGCTCCCTTCAGTACGAATGACAAGCACGGCGACCTGGCTGCGGATGGAAGCGGCCGGGTCCTAGTGAAGGTCGCCCGACTTCGCTCAGGAATTAGGGCTTTTGAGGTTTTAGGGTTGCAGGGTTAGGGGTTGGGGGGTCGCGTAAGCCTCAGTCGGGGATTTGGGATCTCAGGAACCTTTATTGTGGGCTTGAGACTTTGGTGGAGCTGCAGGGATCCGGGGCGAAAGTCTGCTCTGTGCAGTACAGGTTCGGAGAGCAATCTTCGGTTCTGCTTCAGGTTGCGAGAATCCTGAAGGCCCGCAGCCCTACGCCCTGAGAAGTCCTCTGAAGCCCTTGTTTTACGGTTCGGGGTTCAGGGTTTAGGATTTAGGGTTTAGGGTTCAGGATTTAAGGTTTAGGGTTTAGGGTTCACAGGTTCTTTTTCTCAAAGGGTTTAGGGCTCAGGGTTCGCACTGTTTTCCAGAACCTGCAGCCTTAAACTTCCAAGGAAGCAGGAGCCAAAGCACTTTCACCCTAAATCCTAAACCTTGTACACCCTAAACGCTATAGATCCCACATTCAATCTAGACACCCTTATGCCCTAAGCCCTAGACCCAAAACCAATCCTAGAGTGTTTCAACCCTACCGCCGAAACAGTAGAATAACTCGAAACCCAAAAAGCAAAACCCCAAAAACCACCCAAACACCCCAAACCCCTAAAACCACAAGCATACAAACCCACCAAAAGCCTTTGCGTTCCTAAACTTCAAGCCCAAAACCCTGAAACACGACACCGCAAGAACAACGACAGCCTAAAGCTCGACGAAAAAGGTGAAAACCCTAACACCCTCAGGACCTTCACAATTGGAAAAAGGTTTCGGGGATACTTCTAGCACAATAATCCTATAGGGACTTCCAGGGAAAACGCTTAGCCCGAATCCCCAGTTTGGATTTGTTGCTTTAGGTACCTCCTTTCCGACATCCCTCTGGGTTCAGGTTTCAGGTTTGCCAAACTCTAGGGTTTAGGGTTTAGGGTCTATACGAGAAGCCAGAAAAATGGAACATAGTTATCCTGCCACCCTGAAAATAGTACGAAGCGATGTCTAATCACCCTTAACTAACCCGTGTTCCCACATTATGACGACTTCGGCTATACAGACCTATCGACCGAATATGGTGAGTGGAAGGGCCCTAGAACTGAAATTCCACTGGGGGGAAGCCGGGGAGAAGGGTTTCGGACTCTTGGCTTTAAGATTAAAGCCCAAGGGAAGTGTCTGGTACGCTATGTACATGGGACACCCCAAGCCTTCAAAACGTGAACCCTCAACCTCAAAACCTAAACCTAAACCTAAGTCCTCAACTCAAAACCCAAACCCGAAAACCCTTTGCCCCAACACACTAAACCCTAAACCCGCTTAATGAATGCTCCGGGATGAAGCCCTCACCTAAACGCGGCTTGTCAGAAGAAAAGCTTTCCTCCCCCTAAGCTGGGTTCTGGTTAGTATACGGTGAATGAAATAAAGCCTGCATTACCCATTATGAGGAATGTACCACAATTCCCATAGTCTAGGGTCATTAAGGTAATTCAGTATCTAAACCGCCAACCGTAGGCGTAACATGTTTCCGCGATGGATCAGGAGACCCCAAAACAAAGACCGTAAGGAACTGCTACTCTCTGTTTCAATATCCGGGCCCAGAAAATACAAACTTTAAAATGTCGACCAAATACGTAACAAGTAAAGCAACAAAAGGGTTTAACATTCTTCCATTGGCCATCTAAGGAATCTACGGGTAAGGAAGGTATTTCATAGGCCTTAGGTCTAGGGTTTCGCAATGTAGTTTAAGTTACCATAGGAAGGATCTACAGCAAGTTCCTTGTAGTGTTCTATAACGGCTTAGGAAGGTACGAGTATTTCAAGTTATCGTCATAGGCAGTAAAGAACATGCCTTCCCTGTTGTGGCAACTTAAACTAGATTCCTTAACCCCCAAACCTTACCCTAAACCCGAATACTTAAACCCTAACCTCTAAACCCTAAACCGAGAAGCCCCTGAAGCCTAAACCCGAACTCCTTCAACCCTAAACTCCTAAACCGAAAAAACCCTGAACCCTCAAGATTCCATAAACCTCAAGATCTGAAACCTAAGTCATAAACCTTATATCCTAGATCCCAAACGCCGAACCCTGCAGTAAAGCTCCGTAAAGTTGGAAACCGGATTGCCAAATAGTGCCGGGATTCCTTCTACAGTATCTCTTAAGGATTGAGAGCCCCCAGGACAGTCCCTTCTCTAAGGTTTGAGGCTATTGGGTTTCCAACTTTAACCCTAAACCCTAGACACTAAACCCCTAAACCAGTACACCCTAAACCCTAAAATTCCTAAACCCTAAACCCTAAAATTCCTAAACCCTAAACCGGGCTTCTACTGTGAACCCCGGGCCGAAACACGACATCCTTAAACCAAAGGCCCGGGAAACTCGTCCTTCTTTGGTGCCCCTCCCGCGGAGGAGACCTTTTGAGCTTTACGTTTCTTGTTAGGGTTTAGGGTTTAGGAGTTTAGAGGTTTAGAGGTTTAGGGGTTCGGGGTTTAGGATTTAGGGTCAGTTTAGCTGTTCCATTTTTCGATTTTGAGGTTTGGAGTTTAGGTCTTTACGGTTTTAATTGACTTTTGGGTTTGGGGCTTAGGTCTTTAGGGTTTAAGTGGCGCGAACTTTTGCATTCCACGTGCGAGGGTTGGCCTGAACAACAAGACACGGCTTTAGGAATTTAGGGTTTAGGGTGTTGGGGTTTTAGGGGTTTAGAATTTAGGGTTTAGGGTTTTAGGGCTTTCAGGGTTGTAGGGTCACGGTTCTAGATGGCTTTGGGTTGTGGGTTTAGGGATCAGGGCTTGCGAGGTTTAGGGTCGGTGTTGATGGTGTAAGTGCGATAGCCTCTCAGGATTTGTCTCTCGCTTGAAGCGGAGGCACAGCACGATGTGCGCTAGCTCTTCACCCGCCGCCTCGAAAAGTTAGTATCGTAAAGCGGCAACATACTTTAGCTCTCATTCCCATTCTGCATCTCAACCCTAAACCCATAAACCCCATAAACCCCATACACCCTAATAGCCCTTATACTCTTGTTTGATGGTAGGCCAAAAGGGGGGTTTAAGATTCTTGGGGTGGGGATTCCTTAATATGAACCCTATTATGGGAACCCTAATCTACTACACCCCCATAGCCTAAAAACCCTTTTGGCCTCCTATGATTGTTAGCTTGTGATGCTTCTGCGCGGTTCGGCCAGGGAGCATGCCCGTCGATTAGGCTTTTGGGGGTTTGGGGCGGGGCGAGCTTCGAGCGAAAAGCTTCGGCTTATGTATTGCTATCCATAATATTCTAGATATGATTCATAAATATACCTGTATTGAATATAGTACTCATAAGGAACCCCCCAAAATACTTGTGCGTACTAGGGTGGGGATTTTGGATTTGGGCTTAAAGTTTAGGGGTTCAGGGTTTAGGGGTTTAGGGTTTAGCGGTTTAGGGTTCATCCTTTGGATGATGATCACATAGATCCAGTACGGTCATCCAAACCATGATGGTTATTACCTTGAACCCTCAACCATAAACCTTACAAGGCTAGCATACTTGGTATAGATCCCAAGCCCTGACAGGAAAACTGAAGCCCAACCACTGGATGTGTTCGCATTCTGCGTTCCACCTCCCTCCCCCCCGGCTTTCAGCATGCGCCATTGACTGAAGTTTTTGGGTAGGGTTCTTGACTATTTGGGGACCGCATCTTAGCATTCGTCAAACCGCTCGTTTAGGGCTTCGGGCGAAAGCAGATCCGTTCCACGATCGCTGTCGACCGTCGACTTTTCATCATGTTGTTGATGGTGCGTAGTAGCTTGTCCTGGACACACTGACATACAACATCTGCTCCGTCAGGAAGCCAAATGCCAAAGCCACAAGTACAAAACCCTAAACCCCTAAACCCCTAAACCCCTAACCCTTAACACTACACCCTAAATCCCAAACCCTAAACCCCAAACCCCAAACCTTAAACCCCTAAACCCCTAAACCGCTCATGCAACCCAGCGGCAGCGCTGTGTTGGTGTCGATACTGATACTGAAGCGCCTGTAGTCTTTCCGAGTCTTCTGACTGATTGGGTCGTTGCCGGATTAAGGTTCAGGCCTTAGGCCTTAGGTTTAGGGGTTTAGGGATTTAGGGGGTTTAGGGGTTTGAGGTTTGGGGGTTAGGGTTTAGGGTGTAGGGTTTTGGGCCTTAGGGTTTAGGGGTTTTATGGAGTAAGATGTCTATGCACGTCCGACTCTGTCTGCGAGTTCGCAAAGTATAGCTTTCCGCCCATCATCCGCCGCGACTCTACAGTTCGAGACCCAAAACAAGAATCGCAACCTGTGCGGTTTAAGGTTTGGGGTTGAAGGTCTCTTGGTATATCGGTTTGCTATTCATGAGTATAAGGATGGGTTGTGGCTTTGGGTTGAAGGTCTCGTTGCGTTTAGGGTTGCATATTGTGCTCAACATCACTTATAAGGATCACTTCAGCTGGAAGATCGCAGCCTTATGGGTGGTCGAGCGTCCTGCAACGTTGAGCTTGCGACGCGGTTAGATACTCGCATGCTGTGCAAGGGGTGGGCGTCTGCAGAGGGCTCTGCACTTGTGGCATGCAACGCTCTATGCGGCAGTTTTAAAAATCTAGGTTAGGTTCTCAGTAAAGTTCCCAACTATCGTACTATCAGGACGCATCCCCCCTGTTCACAATACCCGATGTCATGGGAGTCTGGGGTCCGTGGGTGTAATTTTGCTCGCAAGCACAGTTCGCCTGCAGCTGCGCAACCTCGTCCTCGTCAGGCAGTAGGGAAACCTCAGCAGGAAGCATAAGCATGGATTCAGCGAATCCAACAATCCGCAGCAAGCATAATGACATATATTGCATATCCCAACTGCTAAACCCCAAACCCGGAACACCTGAGCACCCAGGAACAACCGAAATCTGACGCCCCGAATGCTGAGGCTCGCACCCGTCGGACGCTGGTACGCCGTTTCGCAGCTCCAAAAAAGTTCTGGAAAAGCCTGGAGATTTTTCGGCCCTTCGGCTAGGGTTTAGGGTTTAGGGTTTAGGGTTTAGGGTTTGCCGTAGAATGGCGCATAAGCGGGAGTAGCTTGCGACAGTGTAATTTCGAGTGCATCGTCCTCAAGCGGTTCAACGTTTGAGCCTGATTGTGGTTGGCTCTTTTTATTCACTCTCCCACCCCACGCCGTCTAAGGCGGCCAAACCACCCAAACCTATTCCTTTTAGGGTTTAGCACCTAAACTCAGTCTACGGTTTTCTTTTTCTTCAACCTCAGGCGGGGCAAAGCAGGGCAGGGCCAGGGTAGGTGAGGGGGCCAGGGAGGCCAGAGGCAAGGCCGGCGGGGGCCAGAGAGGGGCAGTTGGTCAATACAGGTCAGGGTCAGGGGGGGTCAGGGGGGAGCTGGGGGGGCCAGGGGGGGCCGGGGGGGCCAGGGGGGGTCAGGGGGGGCCAGGGGGGCCAGAGGGCCCAGGAAAGGCAAAAAAAACAGTTTGTGTCCAGGTCTCCCCCTAGGACCCGCCTGGAGGCCCCTGGGTCCTCGAACTCTGGTTGCTGCAGGCCCCACGCCCCCCCTGGGGGGTGCCTTTTTGGAGGGGGGCCCAAATGGCTTGGTCCTCCATGGTGAAGGGGGTGGGGTTCAGGGTAAATAGGGACCAGTACTGGTCCCGAGGAGAACCTGCTCCGGTACCGGGCCTGACGTGGGTGCTACTGTCCCCATGGCTGTGGAGAGGCGGGCAAGCGTCTTGGGTCGCTCTGCGCCATCGAGGTCGAGGGGCTTAAGCGCCGCCCACCCACAGTAGGTGGGCGGCCTATGCCTTGAGTTTAGGCTTCAGCTAGCAAAGGAGTCTTGGGTTTCGTCTAGTCTAGTATACTATATCTTTGAGCCCTAAACCCTAAACCCCTACTAAACTCTAAACCCTACCGGCGAGGGACGCGTGGTTTTCGTTTCGGGGCTTCGTTTTCAGGTTCCGGGGGGGATCAACGTGCTGTTGATGATATAAATCCTGCATTACCTTCAGGCCCCAAGCCTATGGAGAAGTATGGTATAATCCTTATTAGGGGATATCATCAACCGTACTTCGGGTCTGAAAGAATGCGCATGGTCACCGTCGCCGTACGGCAGTACAGTAAAAGCCAGAAAGTTGGAATATGATTATCCTAAACCCTTTATGGTAAATTATAGGGTATCCTACCCTGAAACCATATTCCAACTTTCTGGAGTTCCCTTTACTGGCACGGCCCTCCTCACAAATCCCTAAACCCTAAACATTCAACCCTAGAACCCCTAAACCAGTAATCCCTAGATCCAATATTTAAGGAATCCTATCGTCAGAGTCCGTCTCCAACCCTCAAACCCTACAAACCCTGAAAACCAAATCCTAAACCCTGAACCCTAAACCTTCTGAACCCTAAACCCAGTAGATCCCATATAGATCCGTTTACGGAGCCCCTTAACCTCAAACCCAGAATCATAAACCTTATAAACCCCAAACCTTGTATAGATCTCATATAGAACCCTTTAAGGGGCTTAGTTGTGCAGTATCCAAGTGGATTTCTAGGTTAACCTTTGCAACTATATAGAGGTTATGGTACCCCTAAAAAGTAAAGGGATCTTTCTGGCGCTGTCAAGCTGTTTGTCAAGGCATCTTCCGTCTTCGGCCTCGTAGGCGTGCTCTTGCGCGTATTCGGCGAGAGACTCGCAACTCTCGCCGAAGGTGGCGATTCCTCCTCGGATCCTGGAACAGGTTCGGATTTATACGGTTCGGGGTGGAGGGATTAGTATTTTAGGTTTGGGGTGCAGGGCTCTGGGGGGCCTTTTAGGAGCCGTCGAGTGAAGGGTTGAAGCTTTCGGATATGGGCTCGTCAGACTAGGGTTTAGGGTTTAGGGTTTAGGGTTTAGGATTTAGGCGATAAGTACATTATCTCAGATTGCTATGTAGTGACATGACATACTACGACACCGGTCAACGCAATGATAGCTGAACCACAAGCTCCTGGGATAGGGCTTAGGGTTTAGGGATTGAAACAACATGCCCACCAGGTATCTCTCTATCTGTTCATCTATCTACCTATCTATCTGTCTATAGCTGAGTCTAGCTAGCAGGCCAGCTGTGTGTCTGGCTATCGAGCGATCTGCCTGTTTATCTAGCTGGCTGTCCGCTGTCCAGCTATGCAGCTATCTGCTGAGCTATCTATTTATCTATCAAAATCTATTCATCTATCTATCCATCTCTCTGTTTTCTTCTCCAGGCCACGAGGGGCATCTCTCTGTGACCTCCCTGTCCATGACACGGCTTGAAAGAATGATCCTCGGCGGAGTGTCTCTGCGTTTACCCTTACAGCTGAGGGTTAACTACTTAAGGTAAGTTCTACTCCAGGATACGTGCCTATGCCCTATACTACCCTATATAAAACCTAACCCCAATGCAAGAAACTGATTTCGTACGTCGACCAGGTGAAAACCGCAGAGCCCTAAGCCCCAGACCCTCAAAGTACGCACCCTTAAACCGCAGATAAGTTCTAGACTCTCAAGCCCTTGGGCCGTAAGTCGTAGATACACCTGAAAAGCCTTCCAAAAAAAACTTTGAAAACTCTAAACCCTGAGCCCTAATGCCCTGGCGCTAAACCCTAAGTTGCAGATCAAACCTGAGCTTGAAGACACCCTCAAGCCCGAGGCCATGAAACCCTGAATCCCTGAAGGGTTTAGGGTTAAGGGTTTAGGGTTTAGGGTTTGGGTTTAGGGTTTAGGGTTTAGGGTTCAGGGTTTAGGGTTTAGGGTTTAGGGTTAAGGGTTTAGCGTTTAGGGTTTGGGGCCCTAAGCCCAAGCCCTGAAATCTCTAAACCGTAGACCTACGGAACCCGAAGCTCTCAAACAACACAGCCGACCTGCTTCTTTCACCACATGACACACCCAGACCAGAAACCACGCCCAAACCCACAATCAGAAATTCAGCTATCGAACTTCAAAGACTCTAACACACTCTAACATCCCCTCCTTAAGGATCCCGGCTGTCATCTATGGATGCGCTCTGGGAAGCCAGAAAAGCCGAAAAACTCAAGGTTGAACTGCTCCACATCCTTGCACAAGCCATCCGGCCGGCATTTCCGGAGACACCAGCTCCACATGTTCTGGAAGAAGCTCCATGGCCTCCATGAGCTCCGCCTTCCGCAACCTGCGCGGGTCATTCTGGCACCACTGTTTGTACCTCCACGCGTTCGTGCTCGAACAGGACCACATCCAGGAGGCCATATGTTCCCGGAGCTGTCCACAAATGCTTGGATCTGCATGCCACCAGGATTTCGACCTGCGCCTTTCGCCTAAACTACCCTCCCTGCCCCCCTCACAAAAACCGCTAAACCCCCCCTCAGCCCAAAGGCCTCCCCCCCAGAGGCTCCATAGTAGTTCCTTTTTGGGTTTCATATATAGAATCCTATAAAGTCATCCCAAAAAGGAACTACTATGGAGCTTCTGGGTACCCAACCACCAACCCTAGAACTCTGGACCACCAAGCCAGCTCCTGGCATCGTCCATAAGTCCGAAGATGTCTGCTCAGTCTTCATGTCAGCCACATAGATCTTCGAGCTTGGGGCAAAAACCCCTTTTTGGGGTTTCTAGGGATGGAAGATCTTGGGCTCAGTGTTGGGGACTTCGGGTCTAGGGTTCAAGATTTAGCTTTAGAGTTCAAGATGTAGGTGTACTGTCGACCACGAAGGTTTAAGATTGGAAGTCACTCCCCTGCGCCCGCCGCCCTATGCCCCCGAACACTTTCAGACTAAGTTGGCTTTATTTCCATGCCAGAACATCAAGGCTTGTAAACACTAAACCTGAAACCCTGAACCCTTCATCCTAAACCCGATTTGCTTTCCGTCCGTCTTGCTGATCGGTCATGATCGCTCTTTGTGAATACACGACACCACTCTGGCAGAATCGCGGTGATACTTCGTCTACACCGTAGGCTTTAGGGTCTATCATCATCGTGCCCCTCATTTATATCATCGTCATCACCATCATCATCATCACCATCATCATCACCATCATCAACATCGTCTCCATCATCATCAACAACATCATAATTGTCATACCAACAATCGTAATCAGACGAATATGATACTAACATAGCAAGATGGTACAAGTTCAAGCTTCGGCGTTTTGGGCTAAGCTCTCCATCGAACAAGAGTTGTCCAAGAGGGGCGACGCAGTAATAGCTCCTCCTGAGAATTATTGACTAATACACCACCAAGCCCTATCCTGATTCAGCTTTCCAAACCTTTTTGAACCAACCATCTTTGAAGCCTACATACCTACTCGACATATCTGAAATGCAGGTGGCTGCTTTCTCACAAGAACGTCTTCGCAATTTCCCAGACTTCAACCGTGGCTTAGGGCTCAGGGTTTAGTGATTCTCTGAATCTAACTTCGATGCTCGGCAGGAGTCACTGCAGCAAAAGCATCAGCCTCCGCAAACTTTCGTGCATGCAGCTGCATCTCAGGGCTCTTGCACACCTTGGTCATGAGGGTTTAGAAGGTCTGGGGGTAGAGGGTTTAGATGCTTGATTACGGCTGTGTCTGTTAACTGGGTGTATGGAGCAACGCCGCTGTACGCAAAGGCTTTAAACTCTTCAGTGCAATGTGGAGATTCAGTTCTTCCTGTCACATTTTGCAGCACGAGCTATGCCCACACGATGTGACCGAAACAGTACCGCAAAAGCTGTAGATCTGAACACCAGGAACCACTTCACTTGCGCTTTTAGGACCATGCACCCAAGCGATCGGCCAGACACAATGCAAGGACGTGACAATGGTCCCTGGTCCAGGCAGCCTCGTCCATCCGACACTCCCTCCTTGAAAGACTTTCAAAGGGAGCTGCAATGCTACCCGCTTGTCGAGCCGGCAACTCGGGCGCAGGCTCTGGGTAGAGAACACTTCTGCAACTGCTAACTGCTTACTCTAATTCGGCACTCATCGCAAGCAGGCAGATTAGCCTTTGCTGCAATCAACGCCACTTGCAATTCTGCAAACAGGGACCGGCTTGATCTTCTGCAGTTTGTGCGAAACCTTTTGAAGGATGCTTCTCTTTAACTCTTTCAGGGGCTGACTCTAGTGCCAACTATTGGCTCTTGCCGGTGCAGGAAGACTGTCTGCGTCTCCGGACTACTGCAGAGAGAAAAGGCAAGGGAAATTGTCTGGAGTAGGCTTAGGCTTACTATTCGGGATATGCATAGGGATATGGCGAAACTTTGATTGAATGGCGACCTGCATTCCAGAAGGCCAGCCCCGAGACCTCGCAGAGAAGCCCACGATCAGGACCAATATAAACTTTTGCGCATGCTTCGCCCATCACGTAGATGTTCCAAGGATGCCCTTCTCTGAAGAACCAGTCCTGGACCGGATACTCGAAGTTGCCCTGCGCAATGCGCATCCGGACCATTCTCTCCAACCACCCGTCTTCCCCCTGTTTGAACCTGAAGAGCATGATGCCTTCCAAGGCGAAATTCAATTCGTCCATGAACCGGCCGTCATCGAGGGCCATGAAGGCGTCGACTTTGGAGCTTGTACCCGAATGGAAATCTTTGGCAACCATTTTGGATGGGTGTCTACCACAAAGAACCTTTACCCTGTTGGGTCTGTCACTCTCGTCGTCGATGACACAGTGCTCTTCTATTGGTTGGCCCGGAGTGATGCTCCACCAAGTTGGATAGAAGTTGACCCCGTCCAAGGTTGCACCTTTGAACCCAAAGAAGTCCAAGTGGTTGTCCCGTACTCGTACTCGCCGTCTTGCGACTGAGACATTCTCTGACACATTCCACCTTGGCACTTTCGTGTCTTTGTATGGGATGCAAAGTCCGTTCGTGGTGTACTGAATGATTCCACTGGTGGACTTGCGAGTGGACCGAACGGACAGAAAGGACTCACAGTCATCCTCCGCAGCTTCGGGGACAGCAAGGAGAACCATCAGGGCCCATGCGTGCTTTAACGCGGATGGGCAAGGCATTTTGCCTGCAAATCGAGGTGAGCCTGCTTCTAAACCTTGAGCCCACCAACTTATCCAGCACATCCCAGCTGCTTGTGCACTCCTTGACCGTTGGCTCCATAGCCTCCGTACAGCCCTGCAATTCCTTCCTCCTAAGCCAAGGGGATAGGGCTTAGACTAGAGTTCGGGTTTAGCCAGCTTGAAACCTCTCCATCAACAGCCTCTCCAAACCTTCCAACGCCTCCAATCTCGCAGAGAGTGGCACCACTCTTTACTATAGGGGTCTTAAGCCAACAACTAAACTACAGTTTTGAGGCGTATTTTTACTAACATGGTAAGGAATGCGTAGGAAGAAAGTTAGCGTCTTACTAGTCGCTTCAGCCACTACATGACTGTTGTCATCAAAATGCTTTGTGGAAATTTAGCAAGAGGAGGCAATGCAAGGGCATCCCGAATTCGCAGAAGGTTACGCGCTGGAGAGCCTGGGCAGTTTAGGCTCCGATGAATACACCCCAGATGAGAATTCCTAAACATTAAAGCTCTGACCCCTAACCCCGAAAGCCTCCGGAAACCACTGGGGTCACATATTGCTGTATCAGATGATGCAGCGGAGATACGCACTCGCAGAATCCCTCCATGCTCATTGCTACCTCGCTTTTTTGGAATTTAGGGCTTAAGGCTTTCGGGCGTCAGGCTTCAAAGTTGTAGGGTTAAAAGTTCGAGGTTTAGGTTTAGGATTTGCGGTTAAGGGTTTGGGGTTTTGATAGCTTTGCCGCGGATGTAATATTGGGAGTCTGTTGCTTTCGGGTTTCGGATGCAGGCTGTAGGATTTGGAACTTACATTCATTCACGCATTCGTGCACATTCTGGGTGGCCCTCTTGCTGAGAGCTGAACCTGACCCTTTTCACCAGGAAACCAGCTACCCCAGGTCAAGTCATCCATCCATCCGTGCATCACTTGCATACTGCCGTATGCGATGTACTCCCTGAGCCCGAACCCCGACGATACTCACCCAGATGTATCAGGATGTATAAGTCAATACTGTATACAGAAGTCATCCCAAATCCCAACATCTGAATGGGAAAGGCAGAAGATTTGAGGTCTGTTGTTTGGGAACTTAAAAGAGCAAAGGGTTGAAGCTTACAAATGTCAGGATTGAGGGAACAAACATAGCAACAAATCTCCATCCGCCCACTGCACATGCCAAGGCACCACAATGCTGAGCTCCTGCTGTCAGGACCAGCTACAGCTAAGCCATGCTTCGTTTAGTTTAGCAAGAAAAGACAAACACAACCTCCCAGGGTCCATGTACCCAAATAGTATGTATATATATATATATATATGTATATACATGTCTATTTTTTTGGCCTAAATAAAGTACTCCCTACAAAGGTATCATTGGGCCCAGAGTATATAGTATTTGGCACATGGACCCTTAGGGAACCTATCGATTGAGGTTTAGGATT